TGCGGGAGACCCAGGTTCTTTCCCTGGATCGGGAAGATCCTCTGGAGAAGGGAATGGCAATCCACTCCAGCCTTCTTGCCTGGAGAATCCCATGGACAGAGGAGCCTGGTGGGCCACAGTTCATGGGGTCGCAAAGAGTCGGACACGACTGAGCGACTAACACTGCTACTACTACTATTGTATTTCAGGCCATCACATTTGTCCAGGTACCAAATTATATCAATTTTAAAGAGCTTAAGTGATTTAGGATAGCCCAGTTCATGATTTCTGGGAAAACATTATCCTATTGGTGAACAGCAATATGTTCTTAACTCAACCACCTTCTTTGAGATTATTGAAAGGCAGTTATCTAACTTTTTGATAATTGGAGACCAAGGTATAAACACCAAACTGAAAATTTTGATCGTTCACATGTTGCACTTACCTTATATAATTTTTTATAAATATATTTTATATTGTGTATTCATTTATGTTTGCTTCAAGAAAAAAAATTTTTGCCCGACAAATATTTGCATGCTCATCTATGATAACACATTGCCACTGGAGCTGCAAACACAAGAGAACAGAAAGATTTAGTGCCTGCATCCGTGGCTCTTGGGCTTCCCTGGTGACCCAAGCAGTAAATCATCTGCCTGAAAGGGCGGAGACCTGGGTTCGATCCCTAGGTCGGGAAGATCCCCTGGAGAAGGAAATGGCTACCCACTCCAGTATTCTTGTCTGGGAAATCCAATGGACAGAGGAGCCTGGCCGGCTACCTTGCACACCAGTGGGAGAAATAGACAGTGTGCATGGAAAAACCCTTTTGAAAAAGATTACTGTAGAGTGTGATGAGAGGAAAATAAGAAGAGTAATGTGATAGAAAATAAGTAGTTGGGGGGAGTGGCCTCTTAAGATAGAATGTTGGTATTTGAGACAAAATGTGAAAAAAGAGAGAAATGATTTCAATGACATGAAGAATTGAATTGAACCGAATCTTTCACATCATTGTGTTATAGATACACAAAAATTCTCCCAGGATAAATCACCTAGGAATCCTCGATTGAGTATAATAAACATCCTTTTTAATCTAGAGCTGAACTTAATAATCATAATCATATGAAAATCTCAGAGGCAGAAAGTGGAAGGATCTGAAACAAAAATGACAGTCTCTGCTTCTTGTTAGAGTGTTTTGACCATTAAAAAATTAAAGTACTTATCAGCATGCCTGAGTTTCAGTAAATGAAAATTATTTACTATTTGTGGTGTTCTTTGTTTCTTTGTGTGTATCCAAGTTCCAATCAGTATTGTTTTCCTCCCTCCTAAGGACTTCCACTGCACTTCTTACTGTGCAGATCTCTTAGTGACATTTTGTTAAATAAAAATTGCTATTTATTGATAGCCTTATTTTTTCATTTTTTTAAATAGGCTTAATTTGTTAAGAGCAGTTGTAGGTTCACAGTAGAGTTAAGTGGATAGAACAGAGTTTTCCATGTTCTCTGCCCTCACATAAGCATAGCCTCCCCCACTATCACCATCATATACCAGTGGTTCACTTGTTACAGCTAATAAACCGACATAATACATCATTTTCACCCAAACTCCATCACTTACATTAGGGTTATTGTTACTGTCTACCTATGGTAAGTGATTCCTGCCTTCCATTTATAGTAATGACTCAAATTTTCTTTCTAAAATAAACATTTTTTGGTTATATAAACTAACTTTAAAATTTTTATTATTATTATAAAAGGTAATACAAATATGGCAAAAATTATGACAATGGTTTGCTAGCAAATGAAGTTGGAGGAACTCTGAACTAGGTGGTCTCTGTGGTCCCTGCCAACTCAGAAATTCTACAGTTCAATTTGATGTCAGATCAGGTATGGTCCTTTAAAGCACTGTGTGTGAACTGTAAGATCAGAAGTAGGAAAAAAAAGCCAACACATACATCTGCAAAACATACGTGTGCATTATTCATAAACAAATAAGCAAAGCTATAAATTTCTCTCAAAAGAAAATGAAAACTACTATTTTAGATATAACCATTATTCATTCTGAATTCCTGGTTATGTAACATGGGATATGAAGTTTACTGTAAATAGAGTGTGAAATTGAGATGAAATAAAATATTCTGACAGCTTCATTTTTTAACCTAAATGTTTAATGTCAATCACTGAGATTTAACTTCTGCTTTAGTAAGAAATGTCCTGGAACAAATTTTGCTAATAATATAAGGTTCTAACTCAGTAAGGAATTGGCCTAGGAAATTGTTTTTTAACCAAATGAATAATTGGCTTAGGATCTCTCTCCTTTGTGCTCAACGCTTGGCTCATTTCCACTTTGGGGAACATGTATATTGTTTCCATTTGTCATCAATGAACTTCTCTTTCATTTGAATTTAGTTAAATTCAGTAAATGTTTCTTTGGCTGCATCTATTCCTACCCCCCTTCTCCTTGCTCAATTTAAAACATCTCAACATTTTTTAAAGAAAGATCAAGTTTATATGGATCTCTTTGCACCAAATGTTAGCACTAGACTGCACTAGAAACAGCCACACCCCAACACCACACTTGTCCAGATGCTGTGAGAAGGAATCTGAGATCTTGCGTGAAATTATCAAGGTGACACGTTCACATTTCAGAGGTGGTATTTAATCACACCCCCAAAATTAAGCATTTGAAATTCTGTGAAGTGCAATGAAGTGAAAGTCACTCAGTCATGTCTGACTCTTTGCGACCCCATGAACTATAGAGTCTATGAAATTCTCCAGCCCAGAATACTTGAGTGGGTAGCCTTTCCCTTTTCCAGGGGATCTTTCAAACCCGGGGATCGAACTCAGGTCTCCCGCATTGCAGGCAGATTCTTTACCAGCTGAGCCACAAAGGAAGCCCAAGAATACTGGAGTGGGTAGCCTATCCCTTCTCCAGCGGATCTTCCTGACCCCGGAATCAAACCGGGGTCTCTTCCTGACCCAGGAATCAAACCGGGGTCTCCTGCATTGCAGGCGGATTCTTTACCAACTGAGATTTTTTTTTAAAGTACAATTGGAATTTATCCTTCGTAATGTATCCTTTGGAAAAAGGATAACAGTACTCATTCTAAGATTGAGGGAAATTATGTAGACTTTTAGGGCTTGTACTCACTACCAATCAAGAAAGGGAATGCAGATGGTCATACGCTCATGGTTAACTGACAGTTGCTCTGTTGCGCATGTCTTCCCATAATTCGCATGTCTTCCCATAATTCGGTCTGTTGTAATCAGTATAGAATATTGATGAACCCTTAATGGGCTTCCAGCTGCCTGAGTTTACTTGGGGAAGCCCCTGTAGTTAGTTTGTATCGACTGTGTGCTCTCCTGGGCATGTCTAGGTTGAGAGATCAGATTGCAAGCTTTTCCAGTAGGCAACCCTTGCTACTCATGCCTAACTTCCTACCTAACAAAAACTTTGAATGAAATTGATCAAACATCTTAAATTGTATTTCCCAGGAACAGACGGTGAGGAGAGCGGCAGACAGATAATTTTGGGAGTGCTCTCCAGAGAAAAGTCTACATCCATGTGTAAGGAGCAGGGAAAGACAAGATGAGACAGAGGGAGATGGTCCACCCCCCTCAAATGTGTTTACAACTGAGGGCACAGCACAGCCTACAGGAAACCCTGAAGCTGGGATGGTCTGTCGGGTTTAGTGCAAATGGTGCCGATGAATAGGTTTTTGTAGCTCTGCATCATCGCTTCCTTGGGGTACTCAGTGGGAAAGGGTATAACCCTAGCAGGACAATTCCAGACCCGAGGACAGTCCTCAGTGGAAGCCCTCAATGCTCTCTGCAGCCAGTGCACAACGGCATTCCAGTGTCCACTCACTGAGTTGCCTTATTCTTCATCGTCAACTGAGAGATACACTCTTGCTTTTTGTTTGTAGTCATTCAAGCCCTTCCCTTCCATGCTATTAGTTTTTGATGAGCCTATGGAGAAAAGTTTGCATGAATCTCTTCCCATTTCTGTACATTTGGCCCTCTGAGAAAAGAGCCCTGGTACCTGGATTGAAGGTTGATCAATTACAAACCTTCAATTTAGAGACTTCTAGAGAGATACAGAGCTTCATTTTCCTAGAGCTGGTTGTTTACGTTCCAGGATGGTGGCACCAACTCCTCTCCTCAGAGAAGATTTTAATTTATTTATAATCTAGAGCAAAGTTCTCTCTCTTTCATCCATCTCTCTCTCTCTCCTCTCTCCTTGAAGAAAAGGAGGCAGATGTGTCCTAGCATCTTAATTTTGAGCCTCCTCTCCTCTGGTGCAAACCTTACTACATCTGCAGTGTGTGTTAGGAAATTGGGGCAGACTGAGGAAACGGATGCAAAGAAATGGTCTGATCCCTAATGTAGAGCACCTGTGTATATGTGCGTGTGTATAACTGCCAGGCCAACAAATGGAAAGTCAAACTTGTCAAGAACCCTCTTTTACCACGTGTTAGCAGCAGTTGTTTCTTGGTCAGTACATTGTGCCCGACTCTTTTGCCTAGAGTGTGTGTGATAGACCCCGCCACATCTCCATACTGTAGTTATCCAGATCTTTCCACTTGGGACTTAACAGGTAAGGCTCCCTAAATTGAGAGTATGCATGTAATTATGAGCTAGGCAGTTTTAACAATAACATATTCATTTATGGCTTCCCTGGTGGCCCAGACAGTAAACAACGTGCCATGCAGGAGACCTGTGTTCAGCTCCTAGGTCGGGAAGACCCGCTGGAGGAGGGTATGGCAACCCGCGCTAGTATTCTCTCCTGGGAAATCCCATGGACAGAGGAGCCTGGCAGGCTACAGTCCCTGGGGCTGCAATAGAGTTGGACACGACTAAGCAACTTTACACACACATTCATTTACAGAATATTTAGTATGTCCACAGCTCTACCCCAAACATATACAAACTCTTAATAATATATGGTGTATACACTAGGGGCAGTGAGGTTCCCCGGAAAAGTTCAGTCTTATGCCTACACTCTTAGTAATGTCTTACCATCTACAGTGAAACCCTTGATACCAGAGATGTACCAGAGGCTGAAGTCCCAAAAGACGGCAGAGCCCTGGATGAGTTCTCCAGCCCTCCCGGCAGCAGTGGGGAGAGCATGGACAGTTGGTCCCAGCTTGTCAACGAGGAGGACAACCCAGACGACACAAGCAGCTTCCTGCAGCTCAGTGAGCGATCCATGAGGTACCTGCTCTTTAATTGACTTCCCAGGGAAATGAGTCTCAGCGCAGATTCCAGAAATGCATTTGAAATCATTCTCTTCAAAGGATCCCTAATAGAGCAAAAAGGAAATCTCCTGCTAGGACCAAGTGCCTGCCTGTCATGATTTGTGCTGAGAGCTCTTAATATCCAGTTACAATTTCAATTAGCTCAACCAAGGTTGAGAGTCATCCGTGTTCCCTTCTCTGCAGGCTCCAGCGCGTGCATTCAATGATGTGACAACTGTGAGGTTTGTTTTTGTTTTTGTTTTTTTAATGAGTTGCTATTACAGCTGGTGTGTTTGATACTTTCTTTCTGGTTCATTTGTATTTCAGATGCAAGACAGGCTGGGTTTACATGGGGCAAGTGTTTTCACACTGTGTTGTGTTTTTTGGACTTACAGTTCCTCCCTTTCTCTGCCCTGCCCTCTGTATTTTTGTTCTAGAAAGCTAGACAGGAGCTTAGAGAGATTAGATTTGGGAGAACCTAAGCCACTCAGGAGACATAGAATAAAAACTAGTCCTCTGTGAGGTGAAAATGAAAAAAATCTTCACATTTCTACCCCAAACCTTATTTGATACCCGGCCAGCACATCTAAGGACTTTACAGAAAGGCCAATTGGAAAGTGGCTTCAGTTGCATCTGAGTGTATGCCCCCTGGAACGGTTTTTCTTTTTTTCCTGCAGTTCAGTCTGTTTAGACTTAGAAAATGTCACAGTGTTAAATGATTTATCGAAAATTTCAAACACTGGTGGAAATGTTGCAGTATAGTGATAAAAAGCAAAGAGAATTTTAATCTTTGGGTTTATGATAAGTTTATATTGTTAATTACCTCCAGCGTTAGGTTCGAGTCATCAAATTTCAATCAGTGAGTACATTCAATACCCCCACATGAAACCCAAGACAAGAATTTAAAATGAGGGGGTTCGGTTGTTTATTCATAGAACTCCAGAGGGAAGACCGTTCTGTTACACAACACCCCAGCACACATCCTTAGAAAACCTTACTTGCAAGAGAAGTCATTGGAAATTAGAAAGGTATGAGGACACATGGTGAATTTGGTGAAATTGGATACATTCCATTGTGCAAGTACAGACAGAACCTAAAAATGGGCTCAAGTCTTCTGTATTTCAGTAAATAAATTCCAGGCTAATAACTAGACCATATGTTGATTGTGCGACCTACAAAAATGATACAATATGTAATTCTTCCTTCTCTACAACACAGAAGTATCGGGTATGGCTCCTTCTCAAAGATTTTAAGATAAAGGAGCTATAAACCTTTGACATTGTCCAACTTTGTACTTAGAAATTCTGTAGCCCCATAGGGGAAAAAAAAAAAAATGAGACAAGTGGATATCCTATGGAATGTGCCTCAGAAAAATCCCTTGAATGGCAAAGGGAAAACCCGACTGGTTTCTGTCAAAAGCCAAGAAGCAGGAAGATCTCCCCCAAGCCAGCATTCTCAGAAGTATCTTAGTCTCTGGAGGTATACCCAAGAAGCCTGTTTTTTTAGGATAAACATCCTCACTGTCACTAGAATGGGGAAAAAAGGGGTTATGCTGATTGCCACCCACCAGGTGTGAGCCAGCAGGTCTGAGCCCACTGCAGAAATTACAAAATACTGAGGATGAGGATGATGGTGGTGAGTCAAAAGAGTCTTTTATTGTGTTTTTCCCTGATTTGGTCAGAAATAGGCATCAATTTAGGGGTCCTAGACACAAAGCAATATTCTCCCGGGGATCGAAGGAAGGACCTTTGGTGGAACGGCAGTGTCGGCATTGTGGCCAGGTGGCGGAGACTGGCATTAATATGTAAACTTTTGCTTTGTCAGCAATGGCAACAGTAGTGCCACTAGCAGTCTTGGCATTATGGACCTGGACATTTATCAGGAAAGCATGCCATCTTCTCCTATGATTAAGTAAGTAGCCACTGAGATGCAGTGATTGTGAGACCGCTACTCTGATTCCATCTGGCAATCCATTTTGATCATTCAGGTTGTGCCCGACTGCTGGCTTCATCATGTCTGTCCTACCAAGGTTCCCAGAGACGTGTGGTTTCATGTCACTGAAGTAAGAACTCAGGCATGTCGTAGTCTCACCCTGCCATCAACCGCTTTCTATATTTCAAGTCTATCCCTTATACGATGATCGTTTTGGATAAAGCTTATCCATATATTCAGACATATATGTTGTTTTACCTAGATGGATATAGAGAAGCAAAAATCCATTTAAATTATACTATACCAACTAGCAAAGACTATCGTTCAATAGAATATAGTGTGAGAGGCTTTTCCTTTTCTTATAGACACCTGGGATTATTGCCATTAATGAGTCCAATACCAAATGGCACTATGATGGAGATATGTCATCTGCTCCCCACATTATGAGGCCTTTCTAAAATACCAAGGGAAAAAAGTACAATAAGTAAGGCATAAAATGTAGTATATAAAGGGAGAGCAACATGAGGTCAGGACTTCATATAGAATTTGTGATTGTTCTGGAAAATTAAATGAACCAAAACTTATTTTTGACCATTATGACATTATTTTGAGATTTCTGAAATTTCAGAAAAGTGAAAATGAGATATAGGGCTAAAGCTTCTCCCCATTCTATTTTTTTTATTATTATTATCAGTAGTGAAAGCACTTTTATTTCACTATTTAATCAGTATCCTGCCTGTGGGAATATTTCTCAGTAATTAAAAGTTGCAGTGCATCCTTTATTGTGCCACACAGCCATAATTTGCAGGTAGAGATGAACATAAACATTATCTTGGGTCTGTTTTGTTTTCGAAAGGAGACAAAGCAAACAAAACTACTTTGGGGTAAATTTATTTTTCTCCTTCAGACAACATTTGTTTAGTTGTCCATCTTTCTCCCCAGAATGAGTCTAGGACCCCACAGAATACAGAAAGAGAAAACCAAGACCATCTCTACTACCCCTGTTAGCATCCTGCAGCTTCATAACAGCAGAAACTGTATCTAGTAGGTCATTTCACTTATGTTCCTTGGATAGAGATCTACCGAAAAATATAGGCCTTTTGGGAAATTGGCCATTCTTCCGCAAACAAATAGGTGTTCATGAAAGAACAATTGTACTTTCTCTGGACATTAGGAATGCAATGGAATTTATTAGCCAGATTTTAGCAGTAACAGAGAATATAAGGAAGAATCCTCCCCCCATAAAGAGACACATTGTTAAGAGCACCTGCAATTTGATTTCTAAGCAGGACAAAAACATGGAACAATGATGAGTTTCCCAAGATGGCCACTTGCTTTCAGCTGTTGGAACATATACTCTAATTTTAAAATCATTTACTAAATCTTCCCAATATTTGCACGGCTCCCTAATAAGTACTCACTATAATGAAAATACCTCAGATATTCAACATGTCTATATTCAATGAGATCCTTACTTCGGTTTTCAGAGTCAGACACGACTGAGCAACTGAACTGAACTCACTTCGGTTATGAGTCTCTAGTTCTAAACAACACCCAGCCTGCTAGCATTTCCCAACAAAAAGAAAAAAAAAATTTTTTTCAACTAATTGAGATATTTTGTTGTACAACTAAAGTTCTAAAGTTTGTGATTGTGTTTTTCCTTATCTCAGGTCAAAGAACCAGATATATGTAGAAAAATAGTTTCCCAGACTAAAATGCAAATTTATGTTGCTATGGTGTAGAAAAATTATCAGTCTTGAGGTGGAAATACAAGATCCTTTAAATGACAAACAAAATGCAGAGGAAAGATAAATCCTCCAATTGGACCTAGTTACCTACTAAATATTTTCTTGACTATTCAAACCTGTGAGGGTTTGTAGAAGGGAGGTTGAAAAGAATTGAAGATTGCATCTCTCAGAGTCTCCCACACCAATCATCTCAACTAAAACCATGCAGTTTATCTGGCCTTTTTTAAAGGGCAAGATTATTTATTTCAGACCCAGTAATCCGATGTAATAGTCATGTTAGTACTTCTCTAGTGTTCGTTTATTCCACAAAAACCATAAATATATTTCAAGAGCTTTTATATCAATAAGACCCATCACTTCATCTTCCATTTACAGCTTGTTCTTCCTAAACATTACCAACCGTATAATATTGTTTTCTCCCAAAGTAAATTGATAGAAGAAAAGGAGATTCTTAAAGGACAGTCAGAAGCTATTGAGGGTAAGCCACTTTCCCATAATTTTGAGACGCATTTGCCTCTGATCTTCCCGTGGAAAGTGTAGTAAGGCATTTGTGTCTGTGTTCAGCACGTGCCTCTGGAACGCCAGTGGGAACGGTCAGCCGCCAGGGGAGCCTGCTGGTGATCAACTTTGACCTGGAGCCAGAGTGTCCTGACGCTGAGCTGCGAGCCACTCTGCAGTGGATAGCTGCGTCTGAACTCGGTATCCCCACCATCTACTTTAAGAAATCTCAAGAAAACAGAATCGAAAAGGTACCTTGACCCCTGTCTGGATGTCATAAGGCTCTGTGTTTTTAATCCCTGCTTAAAACTGAGTAAATGTCCAGTTGGCCCATTTTAATTTTTCATTCTTGACTTTTCACCTTAGAATTTTGATTAGAACTTTGAAGCCTTCCGCCTGCATAAATGTAATCATGACAACTCTTTGACTGCCAGTTTGTTTCCACTAGTTGAGGATGATGAGAAGGTAAATTGAGGAGATGGGATATTTTCAAAGAGTCTATTATCTTTAGGTGTGTTTCCTTCCTCTTGAATTGACCTCTTCCTATGTTCTTTTAAATTAAAAGTAGAGAAGCAGAGATTTGATATATACTAGAGACCAAAGTGAGGTCACACTGATAATTAAAACAAACTGGCATGGTGTTGAAGGGAAGGCATTTTTAATTCCCTATGGAACAGATTTGCATTGGATGGATTTTCTCGTTATTATTCTCCACTTACCAAAAATATAAAGCTAAGGAATAGATCTTTGGCCAATATCAAAATCAATAGCAATGGTCACTCTAATTCCTTTTCTCTAAGACCAATCACTTGCTATTATAGAATATCAGTTATTAAGGTTAAAGCAAGAATTCAACTACCAATGGCTTCCCAGGTGGCTCAGTAGTAAAGAATCTGCCTACCTCAGTAGTAAATCTCAGTAGTAAAGAATTCAGGAGATGCAAGAGACACGGGTTCCACCCCTGGGTCAGGAAGGTCCCCTGGAGAAGGGAACGGCAACCCAGTCCAGTATTCTTGCTGGACAGAGAAGCCTGGCAGACTATGGTCCAGGGGGTCACAGAGAACTGAATATGACTGAACTATTGATCATGCATACCAACATTTTCAAGCTCAATTTCCATAATTTAAAAATATACTTTTAAAATAATTAAAAATAATGTTACTATATTGGTTTTCTATTTCTGTGTTACAAATTTACTAACTTAAAACAGCAAAACCCAGGTCTGTTGTTAGAAGTTTGGGTGAATTCCATTCTCTCTACTGAGGGACTTACAAGGCAGAAATCAACTTGTCAGCCTGGCATTGCACTTATCTGGAAGCCACAGAAAGAAATAAGCTTCCACACTTGTTAGGGTTGTTGTCCTGACCCACTGCTTGAGGTTGTAGGACTGAAGTCCCATTTCCTTGCTGAAGTCCACTCTCAGCTTCTGGAAGCTGTGCAGTTTCTTATCATGTGGTCCTTTTGTACCCTCATGCCATTAGTTTCCATTACTACTTCTGCCACTAGCCAGAGAAAACTCTGCTTTTAATGGGTTCATTCAATTGAATTACACAGATTAAGTTCACCAGATAGTCTCTCTTTTGATTAACTCAAAAGTAACTGAAGAATCCCTTTTTCCATTTAAGATAGCATTTAAGATATGCCCTAGTAAGGGCGTATTATTTTTCTCATCCTATTCATGGTACTGAGGATTAGGGAAGAAAATTTGGGGAGCTAATTTAGGATACTGCCTATCACTACCACTGTGCATTTCTTTAATGCCTTATTGTTATAAAGTATTTCCACATACTCATTATACTTGTTTCTCAACAACCCTGTGAGAAGAGCAGAATGGATATTATCATTTCTTTTATACTGATGAACAAGTGAGGACACAGAGAGGTTGGTCCATGAGAGTCCTCAGATAGTGATGGCTGAGCCTAGTCCTAGAACTGCACTATCTCTACAGATAATTCTCGATAGTGTATCTCTCTCAAATTAAATTGCCTTGGAGTTACAATCTAGATTTTCTTAAAAGGTATAAATGCATTTTAATTCTTATTGCCAAAATCTAGCATTCTGAAACATCCTGAAATGAGAGGTCTTTTACTCTTTGCCTTAGGCTTAGGTACACAGTAATTAGAAGAGCGTCTCTCTCTCTCTTTCTCTCTGTCTCTGCCTCCCCAGCCAATGGGCTTGGCTACTGGAAAAATTGAGAAGACTTAGTTTATTTTCCATAGACTCGTCCATTTCAGCTTCTCTTTCTAGCCAGGGATTCGTGTTTCTCTTTATGCCTAGGACTGCCTACAGTTCTCTCTTCTCTAAATCTAGATACTGCCCCATGCTTGGCACACCTTCATTTTCAAGGTGATGAGTGGTTCACGATAGTGCTTCACTATGAATTCTCCTCCCCCTTACCGTCCAGCCAGCCAGGGCACAGGGCACAGTGATAGAATGCTTCAGTTTTGCCCCCTCCCTCCTGCCTCACACAATCCCAAGACCCCCTGCCATGGGGAGGAGAACAAAGACATTTTTTACCCAGAGTTCTTGGTTTCCTGGAAAAATGAAAGGCAGGTTAGTTTCCAGTTTTATCCCCAGCCTTTTCCTGAATAAAAGCATTGCATGGTATGTTTTAGATGATTTCTTAATGAAACAGATGTTTATGTTGTTGTTGTTCAGTTGCTCTCTGTCCAGCTCTTTGGAACCCCGTGAAGGGCAGCATGCTAGGCTCCCCTGTCTTCCACTATCTCCCGGAGTTTGCTCAAATTCCTGTCCCATTGATTTTTATACAGTCCACCATTTTGAAGAAACAGTGTAACACTCTATGTGAATATATGTCTAATAAATTTTTGTTTAGATGAAAGGACAAGGAATATGTCACTAACACCTTAATTATGTAAATAATGCTTTGGCATGATATTTATTTCTCCCCAGTGATTTTCAGTTATCAAAGGGGATACCTGTCTTTACTCATAACAATTTTTCTATAAAAATAAATGTTCCATTAGTATGTCAAGATACATTAAATGATGTTTCACTCCTATTTAGCATCACCTCAAGGGACTTATTTCTAAGTAATAGAATTTTAGGGACTGAATCATCTTCTGTTTCTGAGTCAGTTAAAATTCTCTACAGGTAATGGCTTCTCCATAAAAGGGCACTGCCTGTGCCCAGGTCTGTGACAGAACTGGTGAAATAAAGCAAACCCTTATGTAGAATTTTGATATTCTGTCTTTTATTTGGAGCCCTCATTCTGACTGTTTTTTTACTTAGTCAGGAAGTTAAGTGGCCATTTTCAAGTGGTGTGGAAGAGAGACTGTGGCTTCCCACCAAGGAGGCTGTGTCACTTGAAAGCAGCAGTGTCTCATTAGCTCCTCATCAGCTTGGAGAAGGTGAAAGAAGTGTCTCTGTTAAGTTCAGCAAGCAAAAGGCAAAGGAGAAAAGGAAAGATATTCCCATGTGAATGCAGAGTTTCAAAGAACAGCAAGGAGAGATAAGAAAGCCTTCCTCACTGATCAGTGCAAAGAAATAGAGGAAAACAATAGAATGAGAACGACTAGAGATCTCTTCAAGAAAATTAGAGATACCAAGGGAATATTTCATGCAAAGATGGGCACAGTAAAGGACAGAAGTGGTATGGATCTAACAGAAGCAGAAGATATTAAGAAGAGGTGCCAAGAATACACAGAAGAACTACACAAAATGGATCTTAATGACCCAGATAACAACGATGGTGTGATCACTCACCTAGAGCCAGACATCCTGAAGTGAAAAGTCAAGTGGACATTAGGAAGCATCACTATGAACATAGCTAGTGGAGGTGATGGAATTCCAGCTGAGTTATTTCAAATCCCAAAAGATGATGCTGTGAAAGTGCTGCACTCAATATGTTGGCGAATCTGGAAAACTCAGCAGTGGCCACAGGACTGAAAAAGGTCAGTTTTCATTCCAGTCCCAAACAAGGGTAATGCCAAAGAATGTTCACACACCACACAATTGCACTCATCTCACATGCTAGAACTAATGCTCAAAATTCTCCAAGCCAGGCTTCAGCAATACGTGAACCATGTTGAACAGATGTTCAAGCTGGATTTAGAAAAGGCAGAGAAACCAGAGATCAAATTTTCAACATCAGTTGGATCATAGAAAAAGCAAGAGAATTCCAGAAAAACATCTACTTCTGCTTCATTGACTACACTAAAACCTTTGACTGTGTGGATCACAACTGTGGAAAGTTCTGTGGAACTGTGGAAAGGTCTTAAAGAGATGGAAATACCAGACCACCTTACCTGCCTCCTGAGAAGCCTGTATGCAGGTCAAGAAGCAACAGTTAGAACCGGACATGAAACAACAAACTGATTCCAAATTGGGAAAGGAGTAGGTCAGGACTTTTTATTGTCACCTGCTTATTTAACTTATAATGCCATCATGAGTAATGGCAGGCTGGATGAAGCACAAGCCAGAATCAAAATTGCTGGGAGAAATATCAAAAACCCCAGATATGCAGATGACACCACCCTTATGACAGAAAGCAAAGAAGAACTAAAAAGTCTTTTGATGAAGGTGAAAGTGGAGAGTGAAAACTCCGGCTAAAAACTTAACATTCAAAAAATTAAGATCATGGCATCTGGTCCCATCACTTCCTGGCAAATAGATGGGGAAACAGTGGAAACAACAAGAGACTTTATTTTCTTGTGCTCCAAAATCACTGCAGATGGTGACTCCAGCCATGATATTAAAAGACACTTACTCCTTGGAATAAAATCTTTGACAAACCAAGACAGAGTATTAAAAAGCAGAGACATTACTTTGCCAACAAAAGTCCATCTAGTCAAAGCTATGGTTTTTCCAATAGTCATGTATGGGTGTGAGAGTTAGACCATAAAGAAAGCTGAGCACTGAAGAATTGATGCTTTTGAATTGTGGTCTTGGAGAAGACTCTCGAAAGTCCCTTGGACTGCAAGAAAATCAAACCAGTCAATCCTAAAGAAAATTAGTCGTGAATATTCAATGGAAGGACTGATGCTGAAGCTGAAACACCAGTACTTTGTCCACCTGATGCTAAGAGCTGACTCATTGGAAAAGACCCTGATGCTGGGAAAGATTGAAGGCAGGAGGAAAAGGGGATGACAGAGGATGAGATGGTTGGATGGCATCACTGACTCGATGGACATGAGTTTGAGCAAGTTCTGGGAGATGTCATGATTGAATACAGAAGCATCTAATCTGTCCCACCACTGCCTGTGAACTTGGCCTTGGAGTGGAAGTACAC